AGGTGATACTTCTCCTCTATGCGGCTTTGGTCAGACCACAGTTGGAGTACTGCATCCAGTTTTGAGTGCCATACTTCAAGAAGGATGTTGATAGACTCGAGAGGGTCCAGAGAAGGGCCGCTCATACAGTTAGGGGCTTACAGGACAAGCCCTATGAGGAGAGACTGAGGGACTTGAACCTCTTCAGCCTCCGCAAGAGAAGTCTGAGAGGTGATTTTGTGACCGCTTACAAATTCATTAGGGGAATGCAAGAGATCAGAAATGTTCTGTTCACCAGGGTACCTCTTGGGGTAACAAGGAAGAATGGTCACAAACTGAGAGAGAGTAGATTTAGGCTAGATATCAGGAAAAACTTCTTCACCGTAAGGGTGGCCACAATTTGGAATGGGCTTTCTAGGGAGGTGGTGCTCTCCCCTGCCTTGGGGGTCTTTAAGAGAAGGCTGGATAGGCATCTGGCTGGGGTGACCTGACCCAAGCACTCTTTCCTGCCTAGACTTGGGGTCAGACTTGACGATCTGTTGAGGTCCCTGCTGATCTTAGCATCTATGAGTCTATGAATAGCCCTTGAATAAAGAAGTGGTCTTGCTGTCAGGAAAAAAAAATCTGTCATGGGTCACCCTAAATGGCATGTTGATGCCACCAGACAACTAACCTGAAGACCCTTGAATAGGGTCCTGACTGATCTGAAACTCTGGCTTTCTGTTATAGGAAAGGTCACTTTATTATGTGCTCAGTACTTAAACAAGGATCTTGGGGTATAACTGAATGTCAGTAACCAAATCTGTCTTTGGTTGTCTCAGCTGACATGTCAGTGTGACCAGGACTCTCCTGGAGAAGCTGGGACTTGGAGGGCCCTGACAGCCCCAAAGCTTTGTTTTTAAGTGCCCCCAGCTCATTCCCGTGCAGTCATTCTGCAGTTCCTCACCAAAATGGTACCAGTGGCAAAATCTGTTGCAGAGACACATAGTTAGCTGTATTAGCCTGAAGCCAGGGTAGATTTGTACCTGATAGACTAACTTAGATATTTAGCACAACTTTTCATAAGTATTAGATGTGGAAAGATACGCACTCCAATTTAGGTAGTTTAAGGTGAAAATCTGTTGCAGACCTGCTTGAATATCATATAATTGCAAGTAGGCAAAACTCATGAATGTGGGACGGGACACTGCCTGACCTGAAGCTTTGCCTTTGAGTGGTGTGTGGCTAAATGCTGCCCCTCCATTCAACTTTGTTCATAACTTTTTGAATAAGGGACAGGTTTTTGATGGTGTTGGTGACCAAATCTCTCTTGGGTTGCTGCAAGTGACACCTCACTGTAGCTGAAACTTCCATGTGGTACTTGGCACATGGTGCTACCTAGTGTAACTATTGATACATTTTTATAACGTGTTTCTGCGTGATGCCTCAGCAGATCGGTTCCTATGTAGCATGGCACCCACAAGTCTGGCCCCAGAATCACTTGAAAGTCTGGCCCCTGACTGTGTCCAACAGATATGTTTACTTCTGTCTAAAAACACAAACGCTCCCTACAGAGATGGGTACCTTGCCATCTTACCTTACATATGAGCCTTTATAACACAGTGAGCTATGCCACAGGATCTGCCAAACTCTTGGCAGATTTGTCTGTCTTGCACAGATTGCAGGGTGCAGACTAGGCAAAAACTATTTCCCCAGCCCTTCAGATAAGGGTGTAGGCAGGTGGCTGACAGCTTCTCCCTATAATATAATTCTTCTTGTGGAAACAGATGAAAGATCTTGCCACTTGCAGTATCAGGTTTTGGCTTAGTAGTTAGTATGTAAATTGGGAGTAGGCAAAATGCAGCCCATGAGCTGGATCTGGCCCACCAGGTGACTGGATCCAGTTTGCAGCTGCCCCTGCAGTGCTCTGCGTGGGGCCAAGCTCTGGCTTCTCGTGCTGGAGGTGGGAGGAGCAGAGCAGCACCCAGGTGGGCCGGACTGTGGGCGCCAGTAGAAGCGCAGCATGGACTGACCTGGCAGAGCACTGTGGGGGCAACACAGACTGTACCACCCAGGCAAGCTCCACTGTACCCCCCCCACCTGTAGCAGGCTTCTGGGACCTAGTGCCTAGGCAGCCCCCTTTTCCCCCCCACCACGTGCACACACATATGCTCGCACATGCTTGCACGTGCCCTGGAGTTGTCACCACCTTGCAACCCAGCTCTGTGATCCCAGCCTCACCCACCTCTCTTGCTTTTGAACGCTGCTCCCTGCCTGCCTGTAGCCCCATGGGAAGTTTTGGTGAGGGGGGAGGGAGGTGGTTGCTGGCCTGGCCTGTGACAGCTCATCACAACTCCCCAGGTGGCCGCTGGGCCTGAATAATTGCCCGTGCCTGTTATAAATGGATTGAATGACACAGTCTCTGAGGCCACCAGTTGGACAGCCCTGCACTTAGTGGTACCAATGGTGTATGTAGAAGTGTGGAACAATTTATGGAACTTTGCCAGTGAAATCAACTTGCTACAGCTGGAATATTTTGTGGGCTTTTGGGGTTGTTTTTTTTTCTCCACAAGGAGATGCATAAGTATCTGGGGAATGACTATGACTGTGAATCTCCAGATGGCATAACAAAAAATCAAATAGATCATCTTTCTATTTGTATTTATAGAAAGTTTCTTCATCCTTTTGCCATATTTGGGCAGGTGTGAGCATGACTACTGTATGAGTGTTACTTCTATGCAAGTGAAATAGTTGAAAAAATGCTGGCAAAGCAAGCAACCAAGAAAACAATTTTCTTCAGACATACAGTCCCTCAAAAAAGAATCGGGCTTGAAATTCAGATGACAAGTTTTCCAGCTGGACAGATTTGGGTTCTATCTATGAAGAAAAGTCTTGGAAGAGCATCAGTACAGCATATATCAATATGGCTGAGAATGTCCTGGGATTTTTCCAATGGCGGGAAAGGGGATTTGGTCACTAAGACTATATGTGATCCCATCATGAGAAGAAAATGGGCAAAGTTGAATAGGCAAGAGGAAATTAGCAAACAGAAGAATACAGAGAAATTGGTAAAGTGTTCAATAAGGACAGACAAATGAGCATGTATTGATTAGGGTTGGAGTGTTGTAGCTGTAATAGTCCAGGAACTGTTGGAGAGGTGAAGCAGCCCTTCAGGTGTGTGACCTGGAGTAGTCTCAGACCTGAAAAAAGTGATGCCTAAAAGTTTATCCAACAGCTCTCCCAACTATACATTTTGTCCAATTAAAAGATTTCACAAAAAACCTGTGCCTCTCAGCCATATATTTATTGGCAGGCCTGGGAAGCAGAGGTGGCTATCAGAAAAAGGGGATGCGACTACTTTGTACAATACTGAAAAGGCTTGCGGGTTACTTTGCTCGCAGCTACAATGGAATAAAAATATTGAATATTTATTATAGTGTGTTATGTACTAACACAGTTCCTGGGGACTTGTAATATATTAGTTTACATACAGGCAATCCCTTTGAATAAAGAACTGCAGACCAAGAGCCAGCTTCACCGTTGCCCTTTCTCTACTAATGAGACCATAGCTGTTTGGACTGTAACATGAACAGCCATAAAAAAAAAAAAAATGAAGGCAAAGGGGTTAGCTCTGCTAACCTCTCTGCTCCACAAATAATACCAGTTCTCTTCCTTTTTAAATGGTCTTATTCTTCTACACAATTAGGTTTATTTTATTTCAACTATTCTTTACCCAATCTGTAACTACTTCTTTCTTCCACTGGTTTCCTGCTTCCCTTCTTAACCATTTTTACTTTCCATAATTGTTTTAAACAAGAAATTATTTTACCTGATACTTAGCTTGGGTTGTGTCTGTTTCTTTCCCAGACTTGAGGAAGGCATGATGCCAGAAAGCTTGTGTAACTATGTATAGCAAGGCCATTTAAAGATACTGCCAAAAACTTTTGCTTCGGGTATATTCCCTGGACCATCTTGGCTACTAGGGAACTATTACAACTATTTTAGTAGCAGATCTCTCCCTTTTACCTTGAATGATCCTTTAGCTCCCCCTGCTGGCTCAGCAGCCACAATCTTTCCAGAATTCAGTTATTACAAAACTATTGATTCAACAGGTAACTGTTAGGCATGTGCAAAGTGGGAAGTATTCGCTTCAGATTCGGCTGATTCAGAGATTTGAATCACTGTCCTGGTTTGATTCGGCTGAATTGGATCCAAAGATTCGGTGCTGCTTTGGAGATTTGGCCATAGACTAAACAGGCAGCAGTCCTCAAGGACTCTGGACACAGCTGCCTCCAGCTGGGAAGTCTGGTGTGGTGATTGGAGGGGGGAGGGGAGGGACATGGAGGGGGCAGATCAATGCCCCCACAGCGAGGGAATGATTGGGGCTGAGGCTGGGACAAGCTGCCCAGCTGGGGTAGAGGGGTGTGGCAGCACTGGGAGTGGGGGCTATGCCCTGCTGCTGCTTGCCCAGCTTGCGGGGACACGATGCAGGCACAGCTTGCTCCAGGCGGAAGGGGGCAAGTGGCAGCAGGGCATAGCTCCTGCTGCCGTGCCTGCATGCCATGCCCCCGGCTGAGCAAGCGGCAGCAGGGCAGAGCCCCTGCTCTCAGCGATGCTGTGCCCGCATCCTGCACCTCCCTGCCCCTGCCCCAACCCCTCCCTTGCTGTGGGGGCATTGATCTGCCTCCCTGCACCCCTTTCCTCCTCCTTCCACCCACCACAACAGGCTTACCAGCTGGAGGCAGCTGTGTCCTGCTTCCTCGAGGTGAACAAGGCTGTGTACCTTAAACCTTGCTGCTTTCATTCTCCAATCAGGAAAAGCTGGCTTTCATGGCAATGTTCTGTCAAAGCCATTTTAGAATAGATACGCTGTTCCAAGCCAAAGGAGAACCTGAAGTCATTCTACTTCTAAAGCAGTTTGTGTAGGACGTCTAAAAAATAAAACAATACCTTGGATCTAAACTATATGAAAGTCCATTTAAGAAATGGAAAAATGCTGTGATTTAGAAGGCAAGGCTTAATGTCTTTTCTCTTGCTAACAGATACTGGGCAAACTTGAAACTTTGGTTTAAACAAAAGATCAGCAAAGAAGAGTTTGACCTAGAAGCTCGCAGACTTCTTACACAAGATAATGGTGAGACACCATCTTTAAAGAGTTTCTGGTTTTGCCTGTCTCTCTCCCATGTTCCTGAAAATACCAAGTTTGGGGTTAGCTTCTACTTCTTGTAGAGTAATGTAATCATGCAAATACCATTGTATTGAAACCCATGACACTTGGTCTTAGAGCATGTCAGTCTTCAGAAGATTAAATTGCATGCTACAGGAGTGACAAAGGTGCTGCCAATGGCTTAGCCCCTTTAGTGGCAAGAAGTTTAATTAGATGAGAAATACCTAGAGGAGGGCAGTAGGAGACCTAGCCTCCATGCTGAGAGGGTGGTGAACATCTCTTGAAGTCCTGGCCAATCTGGTTTGGGGTAAGCTTCTTCCTGACCCCAGATTTGGAAGTCAGTTTAACGCTGAGCCGCATACACCAGTTGGGCCTCAGAAGAATAAATATTCTCTGTACATTGTTGGTAGAGCTGTCCCTAGGGGGCATGAATCAGGGCAACTGCACTGGGTCGCGTGCTTTGGGGGGCCCTGTGGAGCTGGGTGGAGCAGCTGCAGTGACTCCGCGCTGCTGCCAGCTTCACATCCGGCTGCTTGGTGGCACCCCCCCGTCCTCTTCCCCCCTGCCGCTGAATCCACTGCTGGCTTCCTCATGTCCGGGGGCAGGGCCCCATATGGGTTGATTTTCCTGGGCCCTACACCCTGCTCAAGTTGTCTCTGGTTGGTAGAGTACAGGGCCATACAATCTAGCGTCCTATCTCCAGCTACAGCCGATCATTGATACTTCAGAGGAAGGGAGGGCAGCAGAACACACAGGAGTTTTTTTCCATATAGAAGGACACTTGCAATGACCAAGTTACCTCTTTAATAAATTGGTTTCCTTAAGCTTAATTTCATACATCAGATGGAAAAAATTCCTAGAAGATACAAACTGACCAGCCACATAAATGCATGATGGAAACATGTCGCGGGGGGAGGGGGGGTTAAACCTAAACACTGTTAGAGTACCTTTGAGTGGTTGCCTTTAGATTCTGCTAGCCATGTTATCATTATAGATGTCTGTCTTCAAGGAAACCTTCTTGTTCATAGCATATCTGTCTCTTCACAGTCCATTCTCACAATGACTTCCTCCTGGCTATTCTGACCCGATGCCAAATCATGGTTTCTGCACCAGGTAAGTAAGCTGCTTTGTTTGTTTGTGTTTTGAGTCCTACATTAAGACTTTGCATGTCTTATGGTGGGTTTTATTCTTGAGTTACATCCTTAGGTTTCATTTTAAGTGGCAGTTCCTTGGAGTAGGTGCTACCTCTTATGTGCTACATGTTGTATAACGCAGTGTGAATCCTGACTCCAGCCTCTAACTACAGCTACAATATAAGTACTTATAATATGAAGTACATTAAGTCGTTATTTTGTAATACAAATTGACCAGAGACTAGTGCCCTGCATAGCTGTACAGAAGTCCCTGGTTTGATTCTTGTCTAGTTCCTGGAGCTGCAAGGGTGCATGGCCTGTGCCTAGGGAGGAGTGAAGGGACACTACTCTGTTCTTTAGTGATCTGTTCTGCAGGCTGCAATAATAATGACCAGCTGCAAAAGGAATCTGAAAAAGATGAGGAGTTAATAGGTGACATCCCTAGGACATGGACTGTCCTTGCCTGCTTCCAAAGTACAGAATGTGTTTTACTCTTGCATCTAGCTGTAAGCCTTACTTAAAAAGAGAGTTTTTAACATCCAGCAGCTGACTCCCTACAGCTGCTTCACATCTGGTGTTGGTTTTGGTGGAGTGCAACTATGAAATGTGCTGATGCAAACAGATCTCTTGGGAGGAAAAACAGTGTTTTGAGTGAAGGATATTCATTAGGATATGTATCCGTTAGAATATGATTTTGAAACTGCTGCATGTTTCAAGGATAAGTATGTTTCTTAAGAACTGTGTGCTTGCTTGTGCTGGCCTCACAACACATGAATGTGGCTAGCCAGATTCTACACCCAATATCTTCAGCTTCTCAGTCTTTTTTTTTTTTCTCAGCAGTGACTAGAACTAATACAGTGCATCTAGAAAAAAACTGGCCAAGCCTTACCTTGGTGTCCCTTCAGAAAGGTATTTAGGGTACTGATGAGGGATTCTAAAATCCATTCCCAGTTGTAACAAGGATGCCCTGTGACAGTAGGTCTCTCTTGCCCAGACCTTAGGGGATAAACTTAGCTCTTTTGAGGCAGCTAAATGAATGGCAGGCTTTTAAAGAGTGGTTGATCTGCTCCCTCGGAGAACAGAGGGAGATGCTGAGAAACCTTTTTTTTGCAAGCCTGATCCTTAAGTTATCCAACTGATAACAGGCCCCAAGAAAGTACGTGATCTTCAGTGCATTGGGAGAACCCATTCATGCATACTTGGGAGGCATTTGTGTACTACAGTAATTGAAATTGTTGATGCTCACAGATGGGCAAAGCCTCAGAAATGCAGTGTGTTGTGGTTATTTTGTTTAAATAAATGACAAAAACCCTAGAGCTGGTCAGACAGGTTTATGGGTGAGTCTCAATAGACCAATAAGGGTATTGGACTTTAGGAAATTAGTTTGTCCATTTGTTTTGAGGAAAATTTTTTTTTCCCAAACCTGTTTGCCTCTCCTTTTTAGCTTTTGTGTACCTATGTGCTCTCCTACTGGGTATAAAGTTTCTTTTTGTTTGCTTGTTTAGAGACTCCCTAGACAATCTTGGCAATCAAGGCCATGCAAGGCTTTCTCTCATTTTATCTTCCATCTTCTGCCTCTAATTCCTATCTCTTCTAGGTACTGTGTCTTTTCTAGTAATCTTGCCCCAACCAAGACATGATAGTATAGATAGACTTAGCATGGAGTCTGGGCAACAGTAGCATCTTTATCTTATTGGGATTTCTCCACGCTTTGGCTTTAGGGCTTGCAAATCTGATACCTGGGTACAGGTTGACCATGTCTCACTTGCCTCCAAGGAAAGATGAAGAAATGAGAAGAGGAAAAGCATCAGAGAGAGAACAGGGATAAAATAACAACTGGAAACAAAAGAGTGTGATCACAGAAATTCTTCTAAACACTTTTCCCACTCTGTCTTCATCAAAAAAATAAAATACTAAAAATGTGTTAAAAAAATACAGACTTAGTATATAGTTGGGTCTCTGTAACAAGGCTGCAGACTTGCAGCCTGGAGCAATTAGCCAGCTGGTAACAGGCCACCTCTGCTCTGTGGTGTGGGTTAACCCAGGGCTTGAAGCTTATATTGGACTGTTTATATTTTCTACTGAGTTCTGTGGTGCAGAAGAGACCAGGGCAATATCACCTGTGTTATGAAGCCCAGAGAAAGACTATAGGAGTTAGTCCAAGGAATGATCTGAACTTGGTGGTGCCAGGCTAGCCAAGTGACCTTCTACAATCCCCCTGTAACTTCTCAGATTTCTTTCTATTAGTACTTTCTTGCCTTTAGACCAGGGACAGGCAATTATTTTGGGTGGAGAGCCACTTACTGAGTTTTGGCAAGCCATCGAGGACCACATGATAGGCAGCCAGAGGCATATACATATTAATTTTTTAAATTCTTTAGGGGCCCCGCGGGCCAGATAGAATGGCCTGGTGGGCTGCATCCGGCCCCCAGGTCGCATTTTGCTCACCCTTGCTCTAGACCTTGGCTAATGTAGTTTATGCTGAAGGAAGTGGTGACTAAGACTCTTCATTTCTGCTAATAAAAGAATTGGAAGCCTTAAGAGAAGCAGTGCTGTCCTTGCTAAACTTGCTCCTGTTTGGGAGGATTGACTGCAAAGAATCATGTTTTTCCTGGCAAGAAATGCTAAAATCACTTGAATGCACCAAACCTTTGTACTCTTGTTTGGGATAACTTAACACTACTTATATAAAGGAAGACAGATGTTGGCCTGCTCAGGATTTGTGGAAGGAAATGATGCATTTCCCTTCCACCCCCCAGTACTGCTGCAAATGTAATATAAACATTAGAAGGGTGCCAGGAAGTAGTTCTGTGTGCCCCTTTGTAAGGAATGAGTGAGTCAGCTTGCTCTTCTGGCTTAGCCTACTTTAGCCACCCTTCAGCTGTGAAGAAATCCAAAAGGATGAGGCAACCAGAAGTCTATTCCAGCCTTTTCCACTTTCTCTCAAAGCTGTCCTCAGTCAAAAAAAATCAAAACTGAATTTTACATTGGCAAAATCCCCACTCCCTCCCCATAGGGGGTGCAGTACTTGTAACTGTTTCAGAATTATAACACAGACCATTTCTGTAACCTTCCCAGGAGACATCTGAAATAGTTTTTCAGATATAGCCTTTAAAAATCTAATGGATAATTCACAAGGCCCCTTTCTTCATATTCTTCATAAAAAAGAATGATAATAATACTAGTAGACAAACCTGCAGGGAGAATTCCCTCAGTTAAATAATTTGGCTAAAAATAGGAAGCTGTCTATATATTTGGCCAGAGCTGAGAGACGACTTCCTTTTTTGTTTTCTTGTAATGAGGTATTTAGCAGAATTTGCAGATTTTTTTTTGAATCTGACAGGCCATGTCACAAGTGCTTTGGATTTCTTCATAGCTGAAGGGTGGCCTCAATTGTGTGACCTCGTGGGCTGTCATCCAGGTGCCTTAGTGCCCATACCACCTAGCCCCTTGAAAAAGGGAAGAGCACTTAAAATGGATCTTGGGGAGATTTTTAGGTGTCAAAGTCCTGTTCAACAGCATCCTACCCTGGATGTGCCTAAGCCTCAACAACCTTCTCTCTGCTTAGTCATCAAGTTTCCCAGAGCCCTGAAGTGGTAGTTGTGTGTGCCCTGACCTGAATAGCCTCAGTGGTTTTATTGTTTTTATATGCAGCTAGGTCTGGCTGGTGGACACCTCCTGCAATAGCTTGGGTGTGCCTGTGGTCAGGTAATAGGAAAATTGGGTTCAATGCCCTTTTCAGCCTAAAGGGAGTTCAAAACCACATTTGCCAACTATGAGGGCAGTATTGTCACTACTGACTTCCTGGCCCCAAACTTTTGCAGAAAGCAGTGTGAGGTTTGTGGGCTAGGAAGATAAAGCACACAAGGGAATATGCCTCTCTAGCTTAGTGATTATGGCATTCAGCTGGGAGGGGGAGTTCTGGCTTCCCGTTCCTAATATTATTTCTGTTCAATATAAAAGGCATGGACCATCCCTGAAGTAGAGTCTAGATTCTCCCCATGTACCACACAGGGAGGTGAGCTACTGCACTCAGGGTTTTGGATCCCATTCCTAGGATCTGACTCCTGGAAGTTAGGCATTACAGTGCCTAAGACTTTGACTGGATCTAGCCCATTGCCTATACGTTGTCCTAGGCTAGAATTTTGGTTGGGAGTTTGATGATGTCTTTGATTTGTATTAATATTTCAGTTTCCTTAATGGAAGCTGGTTGTTGTTTTGGGAAAGGACAACAATAAAATTTTGTCCAAACCTATGGCTCTCAACCCTTCTGAACTGAGGCACCCCTCCATGACTTTTGAGAATTGAGTAACACCCAGTTACAAAAACTAATTTGTATATTATGGTGCTTACCTCCTTGCAGAGGAGCAAGGCAGTGTGGGATCATTTGGGCAGGGACATGCCTGAGTCTGTTATCTATTTAGTTAATCTGTTTACTTCTTCCCCCTTTGCTTATCTCCTCACAGCTTGTGGCATCCTTCAAAGGATCTGGTAGCACCCTAGGTATCCTGGCACCCTGGTTGAGAATCAGTGGTCTAACAGATGATGGCAGAGTGTTAGTGGTTGGGATGTCACTGTAAAGAGAGGTTGGGGGTAGGGGAACACTCTTCCCAGTATCTTTAGGGATAAGAATGTTGATATTTACACAATCTTTATCATAACGCACAGTTGCCAGCTTCCAAAAAAAACCCGATGTCTTCCTGGTGGCAGTTAAGTTCAAATTTTTGCCTAAGGCCCCTTTTGGTTACCAGCCTTCTCTTTACATTACCTTCTAATTAATTTCACAATAAAATATGGCTTTCTAACAGCCCTGGCCATATCTGGAAGTTGTTCTTTATAAATGAAGCACTTCAGAGCACAGCTGATTTTTTCTCATCACTTGCAGGATAAAAGTAAAAGGGATTCATGGTAGTCGTCACTTGACTTCTCCCTCAGGTCAGACAGACCACCTGGGGCTTTGGCCTCAAATAACATGAAACA